GGAGGCTATGCTCTGATACGTCCAGCGGCCTGGTCTACTCGACGTACTGTTTTTGCTTGATACGATTATGATGTCATACGGAGCTAGCTTTGGGAACTTCATATATCTGGGTTAGACATATAGTACGGTGTACGTAGTCCTAAGAAATCTATTTCGTTCTGTTGTGCCTTATGACTCTTTGTCTCAAGTAAACCACATGCGGCAGCGTGATTAGAAATGATTACAGAAACCGAATCGCTGGCTGCTGCAGGACGACATAGGCTATCGTGGGGCGTATGGATGAGCAAGCCCCGCGTAGCCCGTTTCAAGGCACGTTGCTGTTATCTCAGTTTTTGTCTCAAGTGAACGACTATAAAGTTGCATGCATGCTCTTTTTCGGCCTGTTTTGCCGCACCGCAAATCACCGGGAACGTCCGGGACTTCGGTCCAATCGAATCAATGCCGATGTATGGACCCGTAAACGGCTGGCATTAATAAGATATGTAATACTTCAAGAAACTCAAGATTCGAAGATAGACTTGCATCGAGCAAAGCATCAAGCCAGTTTCCGTGACCGTGCACGAAATCGGATGAACGTCGTGCGTTGCACGATTGGTATCGAATTGGATGCAGAGATCATTATGTAGCCGATAATACTGGTGGTAATAGCCCTTTATGATGTGAATCTAAATGACGGACTTCTGTCATCATTTTGTCATTGTTTGCATATGAGACATCGCGTGATGAATTACGTATGAAACCGATGAGATTTTACAGATTTTCCTAAATAAAAGCTTTTGGACTTAAGGGCGTCGTCTATGGGAGTATTTTGTTTTCGATAATTTGTTTTTGTATTAAGAATTCTCCTAGCTGCTGATAATTTGATCAAATCATATACAACATATTATCGTACTTATAGTAAGTAAGAATGAAGAAAAGTTTCAATGGAAAAATATATTGAAAACATGTTTGCTTGGCACACGAAGCGCAACGTTCACTCTAGCCGCTTGTGTTTGATACCCTCCTATTATGCAATGGAATATATTTGTTATCATTATTATTATTATTGTTATTATATTCTATCTTTCAACACGCTTTTGTCATTGTGAATAGCGTTTTTGATAGTTCCCATTGCAATCGTTAATTTTCCCTAAGTACGTTCCCTAAGCGACGCATTTAATAAGCCTCATTGGCACAATCACCATATGCTTGCCTCCTGTGTCTCCGCTCACATATAAACACTCAATGTTTCTTTTTTAATTCGTTTGTATTGCTACAAACAAAAACAACAAACTACAAACAAAAATTACGCATGTATTGCTATACAGATAAGTGTGCTTTTGTCGTCACGATTACCACCAGCATTATTGCTACTGCACAGGTGCTTCACTTCCAAACCACACAGTTTAGTTGCACAGATAAATGATGTACATGCCAGCAAGATATCGCCTGTTTTTGTAATCTACTCTGTTAAAGGTGGTATGATAATGCTCAGGGCTTCATTTTGCTTTCAGCTGCCACTGCTGCTGCTGCTGCTGCTGGGGCTGGTTCCCCTGTCCGCACGCAGCCAGCTCCATACTGTTTCAAACACATGCATAGATGTGGGTCCAGATAGCAAAACTACACATGGTCAATATACTGATGCCATCCCTTAGAACCTTATTCTCCTTCTATTGATATTTTCGGCTGTTACTTTTGTGTTTCGCGTCTATACGTTCCGACGTTTCTGTCGTCGTATTAAAGATACATCATTTTTTTCTAACACTAATCAGTAGAGAAACGCGATTGCTTGATTTTCAGCTCAAATCCAAGTTAAACTAACAAAGCAAAATACGTATACACACTCATAAGGTGTATTCAGTTGAACGCGGATCTCTGCATTCTCTCCATATGGATCTATTAGCGACCGATTTTTTTAAAGATCGCCCGTTCGGGCTTATCTGTCCTTATGGGCCATTCCATCGCGCAATGACTGTTGTGCGACAATTGATTCCTATTTAGCTATAATTGTCGAATAATACTAATGGTGAACCGAAGTATCGCAAAGCTAGATAGAATACGAAAATAGAGGCTCAAGAGTCTTGCGTATATCTTACTAAGAACGGAAATCTGCATGATTTTTATTTTCGTATTCGGATCCGCCACGACAGCCTTGTGAGCTGGATTACATCGGCATAAGACAACTACTTCTCATACCCCACCCCCCATACATCTTAGAGAGTTAATCTTCATTGATATGAGCGATTTTACGAATTGTCCCTCGTAGCCATGGTTAAAAACTATCAAACATGCTTATGGTACTTTACTGTTCCTCGAAAGGTGGCTCCAGAAATGCGCCTGAAGGATTTTATGAAAATAATTCTTCAACTTGATATCGGCTAAGTACGTTTCCGCATCTTTTCCATTACAGAACATATTGATCACTTAGTTTAGGATTAAGAACTTTTACGATTGAAGAGCAATACATACTCAATTGTACCCGACAAAAGTTCTCAGTACCCGACAAAACATTTAAATTCTTTCAATGTTCGACTGTGTATGTGTATGTACATCTACCATTATTAACTAGTGGTCCAGGTTTGAAACTGTTTGCAGACACAGTTCGTTTCGTGCAGGGGGCTAGCCGTATAAAGCAACGTCTAATAACAGTGTCGGTCGTAAAAATCAGATCGTAGACGAGTAAGTATATAAGACTCATTTAGCTCGGCTTTAGCAGTCGCCCCCTGGATTATATCTGGATATCTGCTGGCAAGGGATCTTCTCAATTCTGTAACGGTGAAGCAACAATGTTCCGCCTGTTCGAACATGCATCTGTCGCCCACATTCGAGACGCAGTTGCGATTGCTTTTGTCCGAGTGCTTTGATCGCAAACCATCTATTGCAATCGATCTCGATAGACCGTCACACAAATGAATAGTCATGGGCCTATAAGAAGATCTGGCGAACGTTTTGTTAACGGCTTTCGTGCGTCCATAAGTATGAGAAGTATCGCTCAGGTATCACGCATCACGCGCCCATATATACATTACTACCGCTTATTGAGGCTAATAGGATGATAAAGGTGGTAAAAGTGACGAAAGGTCGTATAGGAAATGATTAACACAACGACACAAGACCACCTAGCTACCCGATTCGTTTTGTTGCGACAGATCCCGCCACCCGGAAAGTCGTGCCGTACTGCCTCCCCACGGAGCTGTCACGTCCTGCATTGCAACGCGAACGGTGGAGTGAGTATATCAGGACTAGAAGCGCGAACGAAAACGACGCTCGTAACTGAGCGTCATCCTAGCGACGACGGTGGAGGCGACCCCAGACGTGATCAGCTGTATCTTCGCAAAAACAAAAAGCACTGCGACAGATAGAACGTGAGCCAGAGATAACGGGCTAGAGAAAGTAACGAAGGACAATAATGAGAATGACATGTTGTGACGAGAGTAATACTACTGATAGTCTCGTCCAATACGCATATAAAAACAGAAAAATACGGAAGGATCCGCGACTCCTTACACATAGGCGTCGCGGACTTACTTACTCGAATTACAAATGATAAACCTACGTCCAAATCGACGCGAGCTGCGGTTGAGTCAAGAGGTTTGACACACGATGAATACCGCACGAAAACGAGTTTCATAAATAAGCACCCAAAACATCAGTGATAAGCGTGCTACAAGAAGCCCTTCGTTCACATATTGTTGGCAATTTACGAATCCCGTGGATCTACCTATGCGGGACTTGTTAACCAATACATCGTAATGCAGCGAACTTATGTTGCCGTTTATGGCTTCAGTTTATGCATTAAATATATGTCAAGCACAGTTATATATTGTTTAAACAATAAACATAATAACATTATATAACGAGTGTATCTTAAACAATTCGTTACATACATGTCACAGATATGCACGGACTATATATGAAACTAAATTAGCAGTACATTCTCAGTTTCATATGTCGTGCCGCACGATGTACTGATCTGTTTGAGATGCAAGTGTTTAGACGAAACGTACATAGTACAAGACAATACTGTGTTGGTACCGAGCGTATATTTCGTTCGATATTTGTGATGATAATACCGCCGACATACTGACGCCCACTATCTTAAACGTTCTTATTAGAAGTGTACAATATATCATATCTTGCACGAAGTACGCATTCAAAATAGATCCACAAACATTAGAATGGTCCCTGTTCCTGTGCTCGAGTCCTACGACTAACAAACGTATGTAGATCGACGACGTGTCTGGATCGAACGAGGACCCACTGGCAGAGAGACGTCATCAGCGGTAATGCATATATTAAATGACATTAAGTAAGCATCGCGTCAAATGCCACAACTGGCCGTGTCTCCTGACGATACTATCGTTTCATATCACTAGCCTTCACCTCAATATAGACAGCACGCTCGCCCTTTAAGCTATGGTGTACTTCTATGACTCTCTTTAGGACAACAAAAGTGTGATTTGGGATAAACAACTCAATCAAAATTTTGCTAGAGAGCATTCTTCTGACGAGCAAAGTAGTGTATTATCGGTCACGTCCTGCCGTAAAAACTCCTGGTCGTCTACAGATCCCCTATTATTTTGGACAGTGAACTTTATATATAGTAGTGAGACATGCTGCCTTATTGTCTATTTCATCGTTTTACTGGTTTGTGAGCGAAAGAAGGCCTGCGTGACGTATCACCACTGGGGGCACGCTGTTTGGGAAGGGGGCATCAAATAAGCAAGCAAAGCAACCAGCCTGGACGAACTCTACAGGAAGCTAGGACGTCTGATCGATCATACGAATGTCAATGATAGATCGAGCCACATGTTTGCAACCAGTCTGAAGGGGTAGTGCCAGCAGCCCCTCGTGCTTTCTTTCTACGATTGTTTAGAGCAGATGATACTTTTCGACGGCACAACTTAGCCCCTGCCACGTTCGTTGGCGTCCATTGCCCTTGAATCTAGAGACACAAAATAACACACGAGCAAATTTCCATCCACGCTCTCATAAAGTCCATTTGGTTACATTTCATTTATTGCATACCTACTCGTGCTTGTGAAGACTACTACATATTACAAAAGCATAAAGATTCGCACACTCACTAGAAACTGGAAGAAACTTATCCACCGTCTGAATAGCGTATGCGAAACAATAAAAACAACCAGAGTAAGCTGTATTATGGTTATATTATAGATGACGTAGAAGGATGAGACGAGGAGCGTCGTTGACAATTTAGTTGATGTTGGTGTTCCTATAGCAGCAATCGCATCCCGGACAGAACTGAGCAGACCGTATTATAGTTACATAGACAGATATGCATGCATGTGCAAAGCTGCATTGACTCCGGGATCGCTGCGATACACTGCCCTTGACTTCATCAAATACGCTTCGTTCTGCCATCATATTAATATGCCAAACGACGGAGGCAGTTACATAGGCGCGTCGTACTGCCAAACGCAAGGGTGATAGTGAGATTGCCGTGTCGGTTTACGACCTATGACGTGACTCGGTGCAGCTACTGCCGATGCGTTGTCTTCAGGTGGGGGGGTTTATAGCTGAGGTCTATGACTTCGCCGGGAAAATAGGCATGCTCGAGCCAGCCGACACAAGCAGCTTTGTACGTCGAAGCCCGCATACTGAGAAGGGTTGCCATCAGCAATTAGCCTTAGAAACGTAAACACTAGCGAAGGCAAACGTATAAGAATCATAAATAGCAAGCAAAAAAAAAAGCAAATCTTAAATTTCGTTGTCGCACTTGCTGTTGCTTCTATAGCTAAGGTACTTGGTTCTCGACTGTATAGCAGTATCTAGTGAAATACAATGACTAGTCTTTCTCATTCAAAGAGGTTTAGTTTAGAGGGGAATAGCCAACTCATCTTCAACGATGCCCACATACTGTCTCGCTAATGCACCGCTATGCCTACAATGGTCTGCCGATGTCACGGAACACACAGATCCACAAAAGGGTCAAGTGAGATCCATTTCTAGATCAGCTGCAAATAGAATGAATAAAAGATGACACTCATGCACGCTTAGCAGCTGGACGATTGTTGTGTTACGTCGTATAAAAAATGTGCACGCTCTGTTCGTGGATCTTGTACGCCGTTCGCCTTATCTGCGAATCTAGCTCGTTAGCTATCCTTCTACGCAGTGAATGTGATCCATTGATCCAGTAATTGAAATCTAGTTGAAACGTTCCCTCTACGACGCGCACGTCTGTTCTTTTCGTGTCCTTTTTCGTCGAAAACAAGCATACGTTCTCAGCCAATCGTTCCCTCTACTCGGCATTCACGGAAATGGTCGTCTCCTCTGCCCCTTTACACTGACTGGACTGTGTTCTATATAGATAGACATGTTTATTTGTAGCTACATTGGCCAGACCGAATGATGGTCCTTGAAAGGTGCCTTCCCTCTAGACACACAACTCTCCCTTCCCGCTTAGTACAAGACTGATTCCGTTGTTTTGACGGAACCCAACAAAATAGCATCCTGTCACTTTACGTTTATGATCAACATATCGAGTCGAGTCGTTCTGATAGTAGCCCCTTGATAACACTGCACGATATCGCTCAAAAAAAGCGCCAATTAAAAGTAATTGTCCAATTTCCCTTTCCAAGGTCTTTCTATCGTACATATGGCTGGCGATCTCTTTGCTCTAAAAGAACATCTGCGAGCGTCGCGCCTAAGGCTTAAGGGAAGCTTTACGTGCACCCCTTGATGCGTAGTCATAGCATCGAACAAAGGTACCCCGCAATATCGGTAGAACAGTCCTATCGCCTACAAGTACGCATGTGGTGACCAGCAGCAACCTCTAGTGCGCTATCACATCATGATACTTTTTATTCTGGACAAGTTGCGGTTCAAAAGGTGTCTTGAGCCTGGCGACTGGTGTCAGCGGTGCGATCCCATGACCCGCGGCATCAATAGCGGCAGTCACCCTGGAAATAGAAGTCGCTGAAATATGAGTCTAGCCGGTGACAGCTTGCTTTCCTGACACAGGCCTCTGCCGCCTTGCAGGCAGGGATTCTGCTTTGAAAAACACGGGATGTCGGCAGCATGACACGTCGAGCAAACATCGTAATCGTCCCACGATTGTATTCTGTCTGGTATCGTCTTTAGCGCCGTAACAAGTGGTTTAACTGGAACGTTCAAAAATGGACACGATTTAAGGCTAAACTTGTTGGATTCTGTTTTCGCATCGATACTGCCTCGTTTATTGGAAATAAAGTAATCAACGTCTAGATGAAATGATCACCGTATAGTAACATCGGCGTGGCGTTTGCTTGCTTAACTTACTTTTAGCTCTTCGTTAATGTTGAGCGAAGTTCTAACTTTGGTGCGACGGAATTTGTCGACGATTTCAGGACAGTAACTTACATAGCCATACTGCGCGAGAACAGAGCATTAGGTCAGTAAATAAGTGATGTTGCTTTCTTTTCCTATGCCCAATTGTTATATTTAACTTCTCACTGTTTGTTTTCTTTTATAATTTACTTTGCTTAATTGCTAGCCTAAGCTATCTTCAATTATCAGTCCCATTTTGTGTATGCACACCCAGTGCTAAAGTTCTTTATACTTGATTTCGTTGAGTTTCTGATTATTGCCTCGAACCAGTAGCTACACAGGCTGTACCATTGCTAGGCTCCAACCCTGACTAAGCTGTAACAACAACTAAGTCCCAAAACCAAAAAAAAAGCGATACCAAAGAGATTCAAAAAAACAACAAAAAAAAAAGCCAAAATGCTCACATTAGGTACTTGGTTTACTCTCACCGATGAGTCTCTATGCAATGAACGATTGTTGGTGATGATCACCCGGATGATATTGCTGATACAATATATACGCTGGCTATAGGCGTTATTCTAGCTCGATCCTGTTTCTTCGGAATGACGTAACGCGGACAGCGACAGTCGGCGGCATACGCTAAAACAACAATAAAAAGAAACAACAGGTAGGAAAACGACTAGAAGCTCGCGTTGCGAATGCAACAGGAACTAGTAGTAGGCGGCCTGCCGAGCACTGTCGAGTATAATAGTGTTCAAAGTGAAACAAAATGACGTTAGCATATATGCATCCGATAGGTTTTTTTGATATTTCGTTACTTGGATTTCGTGGTTCACACTTCTGGGCGCGTGTCGCACGATACCTATAGAGATTTACTTTTAATCGTTTCTGGTGACGTTCCCGCTGCTGCTGTTGCTGGGCCGTTTCCTCTGATGGGCTGTCTTTCGCCTTTGACAAACAACAGAGTGGTACGCTCGCATGGTGATCGATGAAGAACGGCGATCACAGTCGTATACGAATATATGGCTGTAGTTCACCGCCTGTTCACAACTTTAATCTCTCTCCCATAACAGGCCGCAGTTTAGGAAGAAAACTCACGAGAGTAAGCGGCAGAATTAGAGAGAGAGAGAGAGAGAGAGAGAGAGATGGAAAAGCGAACGAAGCTGGGTCTTTACCGGCACATTTCTGCCCGCCTCTGCGTCTTCGAATTCATTAGGAGAAGGAGGCTGCCGGAGAAGCTGTGGCTGAGTGAGTAAGCCTCGAGCGGGATAGGTCACCAGTAGGCGAATGTTGTCATCAGTCATACAGGAAAACATCTTGTTGATAGCTGTGCCTGCAATAACGCCCTAGAGGTGTTCGCGCTAGCCAATAGCTGTCTGCCTCGATGAGCAGGCAAGGTATGGCCTGCACATGCTGAGGATAAACCATACGCATCGTCGTTTCTAATCATGGACATTGAACAGGGGGTCGACCAGGCTGGCGGAAGGAGTAGAGAGCCGACTGGAAAATGTGGTCTTGGAAAACCTAGAGAAATTGCTATAAATACTCTGGACTTCTTTTTTCGTCTGGTGTCTTCTTCAGCTTGTAGTGGGGTCTATACGGGGCCTTTGGTATTACCACCTTAAATCTATGTTAGATGTCTATGGAATGGTTATCCCAACCTCATGTCGGAGTTCCCGGTTTTCATGTCCTTCTTGTTTTGTTTTCTTGTGTGTACGTACATTCAGTCTGGGCCATATCGACTGAACAGTTGCTTAGCAGAGCAGGTGCTCTCTTGTACTAGATGAAACAAAACTGAAATCTCTGAATATGGCTGCCGCAGCAAATAGGAAGTGTAGTTAACATCTGAAACCGTTGTCGGAAACGCGCCGTCTGGAGGCGTCAGCAGCGCCGTACAACGCGGTTTCGTAGTTAACGGTCGCTCTTGTTTTTCTACATGCTGCCTCTAGCGCCACTGGCGTTCAAAATGCAGATATCTACTTCGGAATGCCAGCGGCCCTGATAGAAGATATTCTCGTGATACATCGGCAAAACGATGAGCAGACAGCAGCAGGTCAACTCTAAGTGATGCCACCTAGACTAATGACACGGCTACGTGATGTGCCCTCGCGATAGTAGTATTCGAGCTTCCGTTATTTTTCTAACGGACATCTTAGGCAAATATGAGATGACAATATAAATCACGCTTAGCAGTACCAGCGAACAACCAGCCGTCGACCAGAAGGTGGCTAGCATAGATGGCATGTCTGTTGCTATTACTTCTCGGGACACGATGGGTCGAGACACCCTTGTTCGACTGCCTGTCGGTATCCTGGGAGAGCGCGAAGAAGATCGAAAACTTCGTTGCTGTCGTTATCACTGAATATAGGAACTCGTTTACAATATGTATTGCCAGTCATCTATCAGAAAAGCTGAGTCTGTCACATTTATATTGTAAGCTGAACGATATGAATCGCTTTGTTATTATTTCACATATGATGCTAAACGATATAGATATATGACAGTAATATTGCTACACGTTACAATTGCAACTGGTGTGATGTGAGTACTACTTACTATATTTACCCTGAAACACTGGGCAACTGGTCGGATATATTTGCCAAGGAAAAAGAGTAAAGATTATTAGACCCCGTAGGGAGGAGTAGATAGCATTTAGCTATTGTTAACTGGACAGTATTTAGTTGAATGTAGAAGTCTCAGACGTTTCGCGTAACGAACTCAATATTATGCCCTTAAGAAAATCGGTATATGGGATATTTTAGCGTATGTTTCACAGGATGACATCTATAAAGAATAAAATGTAGGACCAGCAACAGATTACACATCTAAGTAAGTAACTTGTATCATCTTCATAAGGGAAGCAGAGTATTAATGGTAGCAGAGTATTAAGGTTCCCTATTGCGCGTAATAGAACAATAACAGTAAGACTTTTTAACTTTTGACCAACTTGCCAGTTTTAGGTACTATTCTAGGCATTCTTAGTAAGCATAGGAGAGCTGCTAAAGATCTATATATTGCCCTAATAATAACAGCTTATCTACCGTATAGACAATAACCCTATTTTGTTCAGTGTTTTGAAAAAAATTGCTTTCCTTTCACAGTTAGTTTATGCGTAGCCCGATAGATTTGCATTCTATATGCTTGAGACTTTCGCGTGACGAAGTCGGCCCCGTCACTTTTAGGACGCACTCTATCCTCTCTCATGTTGAAAACTGTTGTAGGTCTTGAGGCTGGTTGCAGAGGGCGCTCGAGAGACTCGCACAGAGAGCCTTATCGACTCAGTGGCCTCGCCAGGAAGCGCTTAAAGTGCTTGTCCTAACGGACTTAGCTAAGCTGTCGTGTATTTGACTTGGTGCCACGATGGCTGAGCGCTTTCGCGAGGGTCGGCATCACAGCTATAAAGCTGGACCCATTTGCTTTTTCTTTTTTTTTTTTAGCTTTTTAAGAGGCTAAATTGCGAATAGTGTCTTTCAAGGGCAGTTGTTGATTGAACTTAGTGTATGTAGGTTCATTAGCAGGCATTGTTTTCTCGATTATAGATAGGGACAATCCTAAATATATTCTTGGAAGGCTGTACTCACTGTGACATAATCTCGTATTTCGTGGAACTTCCACTTTTGCCTTGCGGGTATCCTCCAACCGTCTACTGATGGACGCAGATCAGAGCCTGCGAGTGATATTAAGTAATTTTATATATCTAAGATTTACTTTTGATCTAAGGACTGAAGATTATCAGGAGCAGGTCGGGCGTGTTCAGTGCCCTAGGACGGAGTACTTGAGACCAAATAGCATGCTCTACTTTAATAACCTCTTCAAAGCAAGCTTAAGGACCGTCGTACCTACTTCTGTGAACGTTGCTGTCTTTAAAGAGACAATTTACTCTAAAAACAGACGCTCTTCTACTTCATTGATGGCGGCCTGGAAAACAACTACATTGTCTGTACGATGCTTAGTGGACGGCAAAATGTATAAAGCATGTTACATTGCCAATAGTCATTTATAATTAGAACTTATTAATATAGAAGGCGCAGTGATTTTTTACGATCGCAGATAATTTAGCTGAATGATATAATCAGTGTAGAACAGCTTGTTAGAATCTCGAACAGCCAACGACTTCCCCTTCATAAACGGATCAGCTAAAAAGCAAGCTATCTCACGACGCTCAGGGTAGTAAGTGGCGTTTAGTATGAATCAGTGAAAGCAGAGGAGTAACGTTGTTCGTGAGCCAATTACGTATAGAATATATGAAGTTGCGGATATGGGTAAAGAAACAAGGAGACAGAGAGACAGATGACTAGCTGACACACAAGTTGATCTTCATTTTAATATAGTGATAAAGCAGTGTCACGTTGGACATCTTCAAGTCACCGTTGTTCCTAACGCTCTGCATGCTAATGCATTATGTTAATAAAGACACCGATCTGCTACAACGACGGCCACAGTGTCCAGGTTTCACTTACTATTATGTTGATTATGCCAATACGTGCGCCTCACATCGCTCTATATGTATAATATACAACGAATAAGGTCATCAAGAGATGAAAAAAACGAGTTAAAGGGGCAGAAAAGCAGCGGCGAGGTCTCTCATAAGTTGACAATGACGGCAATGGTGACTACTTATTTATGATAAATTCACGAAGATGTTCCCGAGAATGATTTATATACATCTAATACGTCTTTTTTTTCTGTTGTATCTTTTGCTACTTTCTATTTCTCTGTATTTCTCCCTTCGGGTTTAACATCGTCACTGTTTTCATGCTCTGCTGTTCAGAATGAGACAGCGGTCCACTTCGTACACGACGACAGGCCTGCGCAGGGTGCACAATCTCCGCGAATTTTCGCCTGACAGCCGCAGGGCATCGATGAGTTCACGCACTCCAGGAACTCTGTCGCTTGCTTTCCTCTCTCTTTTCTAAAAAACAAAAAGCTAAAGACGACAGCAGCAGCAGCAGCAGGCGCTCCACGACGCCCGGCTCGAGCCTACCACGTCCGAGCCACTTAACAGAAGCAGGCCACGCAACATCAGCATGAGGAACGAGAAAAAAGAGGGCCACAAAATACAGCTGAGCTAAATCCTCACAGCGAGTGGCCTACGAGCGACAAAAGAAGTTCAAGGCATAATAAGAATAGGCGAAGAATCACAAAAAGATCTAGCAATCCTCGTAGAAGCAAAACGGCCGCAGAGTCATCCATCGACGCACACAACAAAACGTATAAATAAATAAATAAAGTTCTCATGTAAAATTAATGCGCACCACATGACGTCGGCCATTCGTCAGACGACTAGAGAACACAAGGCCTAACTGAATCACACAATTTTAGCGGAGCCGCCGCCGACGAAGGTGAAGTGAGTCAACGGCGAAGAAGCCAGCGGGTAATGAAAAAACAACACAGAATAGACAAGCGAAAATGTATAATATAATGGAGGGTACACCATGTAAGGAACATCGATAGAGACATATCTATGTTGATCGTGTACGTTGACTTCCCAGCATCGTCGGCGGCGGCGGCGCAGCGACATCGACGGAACGTAACAAGCACGAAATAATGATGGCAGGACTGCAAAAGAAAAAGTGAGAAAAAATAGAAGTTGCAAAGAGAGAATTAGAAAGAAAATAGATAAACCGCATAGTAACAGATCGAGCGGATACGCACCAGAAGTAGGATGCGTGTCGATAAAGGTCGGACATAGCAACGATGGCGACGACAAACGGTATTACGCAGTGCTCTGTCGGATGCGACGCCGGCCGTTGCAAGATGGTGGTGATGTGGTTGCTTTTGCGCCATCGTATGTCCACTGAATATTAGTATATGCGGACCGCTAGGCAGATCTAGCCTAGAAATATGGCGCCGGGTACTTCAGCTGATGTATCCCCTTCTAGCTTGCGTCTCAGATATTATGTATTCGTTGTTCAAAACGCATGAAAGAAGCACTGATAGCACGAATCAATGCGCGTTTTTGATTCGAGACAACTCGACATATAAAAATCTAGAACATCAACTTTGACGAGCAGGTACGATAGCGGTCCGATTGTCCGCTTCCATACAGCTAATTTCTTACTCTACTGCAGATGACAATGGACGGACGGACGGACGGATGAGTAATAGACATGTTCAAGCGAATTTTTCAACCTTCAGTAGTTTGGTAATATATTTTACGTTTTGCAAGCTTCTTTCTTCTTCTTTACTTACAGAGTTAAATCGAGCTACTTGAATTTAGCACGAACTGGGGGGCTTAAGGAAACGACAACGAAATAAGGGACAAAGGTATGATCACCCTAAGTAACCTTAGATGCGATTGGAACAGAAAGAGCTTGCTTGAAGAAACTTGGCATTCTATATTCATAAATTTAAGACTTCCGGGAAACGTGCCACCATGCCATACAAGCAATACTGGATATAGGTGGCCAATGGGAGTTCATTTTTTGATGTCTTGACGATGGCGAACTGTTTGTGTTTGGCGAAGATGTAAGCGTTGGCACAGAAACAAAAAAGGTCATGCGTTAGAAACCTCGGCCACACTTTAAATGCGCGTCCTGAAAATACATACAGAGATTAGAAATAGCAGGGACCCGCAATAAGTTTGGGAAGCGCTTAACTGCACTTGTTCTCACTGAGCGGCAACTCTAATAGAACTATCTCCTTCGAAATACGTTGATCCAAACATTGTTCCCCACAGCACGAGGCACTACTTGGATCAGCGGCATTTTATCATCTACAAAGACTTGCTAGTTACGCTCGATAAAAAGATGAACTCTTCTGTCTTGTCGACATGGGCATCGAGTGGCGACGTACGGCAAAAAACACAACCTAATTCAATATATACGGGATAGATTTTTTAAATGTGTTTTTCGCTTCTGCTGATTCCTAACGACAAAATCATTTAAGAATTAGAGTTTTTAATACAGTTGCTCGACTTGGCCATAATGAATCATTGGGCGCGTGAACAGCCAAAGACACAAACAGAACCACCTTCCGTTTGACTTTTTTGCTACTGACAGCACCGTTTGTACTATATGGAATATAATAAAACAAGGCGTACAATGATGAACTCTAACGTGATTGCGATATCTTATCGTGAAGAAAAACAAACCAGTAAAAAAAAAAAAAAAAAAAAAGCTTTGAAACGGCTTGTACGACGAGGTTCTATGTTGTCAACATGTAACAGCCGTAAAATCGTATAAGGTGCGACGCAGTTCTCACGGTATCTGCTGTTAGATAGACTGTATCGAGAATGTGCGTGTTACATA